CACAAAAAGATAGGATTTTTTTCAAAAAATCGGAACTGAGCATTAAGACCTGCAGTGTGAACGTAGCCAGAGTCCCTCCAGTGTGTCCTGGGTCTTCCTCTGGGTCTCCTCCCAGTTGGACATGCCTGAAGAACCTCACCAGGGAGGCATCCTAACCAGATGCCCAAGCCACCTCAACTGGCTCCTCTCAACGTGGAGGAGCAGCGGCTCTAACTGAACTTCTTACCTTATCTCTTAAGGAAAGTCCAGCTACCCTGCGGAGAAAACTCATTTAGACCAATACACCGACCAGTACACATTTTCTTTATTAAACACAATTTTTCTTGTTTTTTAGTGGACATCATTTGGTGGAAACAAAACATATGTAAAAAGTGGCATATAGGAAAAATGTGTCATTCTTTAAAAACTATACCCATTACACAGACACTAACATGTTTGATGTAAAATTTTACATGATATTTACATTTTAAACTGCACCTAAACTTTTTTAAAACGGTTGATGATCAGTATGAGCTTATTTAGCAGCATTTAAATATTTCAGTATAGATTAATTATATGTGTTTTTATTTTGTTTGTTTTAGATTTCCAATGGGTTCAAGGAGATGTTTGTGAAGTGCAGCTGATGGTCTACAATCCGATGCCTTATGAGCTTCGTGTGGAAAATATGGTGGGTGAAATTAAATGCACCAAGGCCCAAATGGACCCCTATAATGTCATTTAATGTAAATAATTAAAACTATTGACTTGCATCTTTTTATMAATCTAAATTTTTGCTGAGTGAAACCTTATTACTGCATTTAGGGTCCCTCTGTACTCACCTCAAGGCTAAAAACACGTACCTGGACAAGTGAGTTTTACAAYTGACTGTCTAATTAATGTGCTTTAAAATCCTTCCCTACAATTTAGAACTAGAATGATTGTAAGATGGTAAGAACAATGCTTTATATTGCTGATAAAACATCCTTCAAAGGACAGCACCAATATTTTTTGGTTCACTCATCCCATCAGTCAGACATGGCATTTATTATGGTAAATGTGGCATCATTCAGCCTAGTCTTTTTTTGTGCTGCTCTCTATGGGTTTAACTATGGCTACTACATTTGAAATTTGTGATTCGTTCAAAAAGTACCGTATGATGTTGCTGGTACTTTGTGACGTCTCACAGCACAGTGCTCAGTATAAAAGCCTCTCTGTAGAGACACGCACTGCAGAGATTCAGGAGTTAACCATAGCAGCTAGCTAGCCTACTTTCCAATCCGATGCTATTACCTTTTATACACAGTTACAGAATGGTAAATTGAAACTGATCAATAAAGTAACATGTAAATACTGTTAATTATTTTTTAACCTTACCCTTTGCAATTTCTTGAAAATGATAAGAAATAATGCATTTTCTGGAGAGATCTCTGAGGCGAAATGACACCAGAAGTAAATATACCTCGCTCCGGGTCATAGCGGAAGTCTACCGGGTCACTGATCTGTCACTCAGGAAATCTCTGTCTTTGTCCTTCAATTATTTGAAGTTTGCCTGTACCATATGGTGGAAAACAGCCCCACACCATGATGTTCCCACCTCCAAACTTCACTGTTGGTATGGTGTTTTTGGGCTGATGTGCAGTGCCATTTGACCTCCAAACATGATGACATGATGTGTATTCTGGCATCCAAACAGTTCAATGTTGGTCTCATCTGACCAGACTATATTCTCCCTTTCTTCATGTGTTCAATACTTTTCCCCTGTGC